GTTCGATGGCCGAATGGACGGTCCAGAAAGTAGGCCATTTTAGGAGAGCTCCATGGAAAATTTGAGAAATTTTCGGTTCCAATGGGTGATTCCAGGTCTCCAAAATTTACCATGTTGCTAAAATCGGCGGTTTTAGTGTTTGAGTACTTAAAAAAATCATATTCAAAAACCCTAGGCATTGTATCTATCAAGGAATTTTATTTTCAGTAATATAACGGGACTTACCATCGGTAAAGTGCCCCTTTTAGCCATAAAATACCTCTAAGTCAACTTTATTTTCCAGGAGCTCGACAGATTGTTTTTCTTCTTGGCTTACATAACTCGACAGACACTCAACTTCATAAATTTGAAGCGTCATTGCTTTTGATCTGTCAAAAAAGTTACATTTGTTCAGGCAAACCGTGCGGGGAGAATGTAGGGAAAAATCGGCGAAATCGCACGATGTGGCCACTTTGAGGGGGAGAAGGAGGCATTTGTAGAGTGGTGGGGTAAGTTGTGAAATTTTTCTCGTAAAGTACTCTAAAAAGTGTGTTACCTCAAAAAGTTTGAAAGCCGTAGCGACAAGAAAGGCACACCGTGTGGGCAGAATGTTAGGAAAAATCAGCGAAATCGCACGATGTGGCCACTTTGAGGGGAGGAAGGGGGAATTTTAAAAGTGGTGGGGTAAGTTGTGAAATTTTTCTCGTAAAGTACTCTAAAAAGTGTGTTACCTCAAAAAGTTTGAAAGCCGTAGCGACAAGAAAGGCACACCGTGTGGGCAGAATGTTAGGAAAAATCGGCGAAATCGCACGATGTGGCCACTTTGAGGGGAGGAAGGGGGAATTTTAAAAGTGGTGAGGTAAATTGTGTTATTCTTCTCATAAAGTACCTTAAAAAGTGTGTTACCTCAAAAAGTTTCAAAGCCATAGCTACATTTTAAACGGGAGAAAAAAATTCGCGAAATGACGAAAAAACGCAATTGCCCGGAATTTGAAGTTCCCGCTGGGAGACTTGTCGGCCCCGGCGGCACTTTTGAGGATGATCCGATCGAGCTGAAATTTTTTGTAAGTTCTTTTCACACCAAATGACAACTTTTAGGGGGGTCGGACATTTGATTTTAGAAAAGTCGAAAAATATGAACCACCTTAGGGTAACATACACCATTGCATAACCTACAGGGGTTACATACACCATTGCATAGCCAGCAGATTGAAGGGGCAACATGCAATACTTTAACTTTTTTACAGCGTTGCCATATTGTACAATACCCGCCATACAACACTGTAATTTAATTCATATTTTTCTGCACAATTTGGCTAAAAACTTTTATCCTCAAGTTCCCATTTTCCTACTACTGCTCTACTGCGTGCCAAATTGGTGCTGTGTTTAAATGGTTTTTCAGGTCTCAAAATTGCTGAAATACCTAAAAAATTGGTCGAAACATCCTCTTTGAATCTGCAAAGGGCTTACATTTCGAAGAAACTGTTTCAAAAATTTTCTTCTGACATATCTTTCTCATGGTATGAATGTAATGATCAGGTAATTTTGAATTGTTTTCGAGAGATGGAGATTATATGGGCAAACGTTTTTCACTGTTATTGGTTTGGTTATGATTACTTACTGTGGTTACTATGGTCTCAGGTTCGATTCCTGGCCAGGCGACCCGAGTTTGATGGTCTCCAACAATGGTTGCCTGGGACTGGTTGTAGGGAAGGAGGGGGGACAGGACTAAAGTGCAAGGATTAGCCCTCCAAGAAAAAAAAAATCGAGCCCTGCTCCTTCGAGCGAGTCTAAAGTTCTATGCTTCAAAAAATTCTAAATGCCAATTCAGTAGTCCTAAAAAATACCAAAGTCTGAAACCAGTCTAACTGTCGTGCACCAAGCCCATGATATGAGATTCGATTGTGCTTTGTGTCTCAGTTAACATACACGGAGTAAAAAAACTCGTTCGTGGGATCTAATTGGTTCGGCACAATTTTTTTGGGTCAGAGACCTGGTGTATCTGTTACTTGAATGGAGCTCATCAGACCAAGGATCCGAGGTCCACAATGAACCTCGTGTCTCAAAGCTGAGTGACTACGGGAGGCAAATTTGATCGAAATTTCAGATAAAATAACCGAAAACGTAGTATTAGTGACCTGAAAACTTTGGCAGTTTTTCCTGCCTAAAACTTTAGATGCTCTGGCTTAACTTCGAATGGACTCTCTCTGAAGTGTCCAGCAGAGACCAACGAAAACTTTAGTGGCTACTGAACAGAATGGCAAAAAACTGATTTTTAGATGAGGTCCACTTTGCGAGTTTCAGCAGCTATCGCAGAGAAGAAAGATTATTAAATAAGGCTAATTAGAAGCCCAATCGCTTTCATACAATAAACAAAGTTTTTAAAGGTCCTGCAAAATTCTCAAATTATAATGAAGTATAAAGGACGAACTATCATAATAATTTGGGATACTTCGGCGCTATCTCTAAGCAGCCGCGCTTGCTCACTTGGTAGAGCACCAGGCTGATAAGACTGGCGTCGCAGGTTCAATTCCCCGCCGGGCCATCCAAATATTTTACGCTGAAATGTCTCCCGACTGGTAAGTTAAACTAGTACTTAATTAATGTGCGCATGTCTCTTGTTTCTCATTAACCTGTGTAACATCTGAATGCACAGAATGCATCTGAATAATACATTTTTGGACCGAAAACTTCGGCTGCCTGACCGGAAGACTTCGGCCACTTAAACCGAACTTCGGTTACCTGAGCCGAAGACTTCGGCAGCCTGACCCAAACAACTTCGCTCCGGAACAACCTCAGGCGTGACATTCGAAAACTCCAGAGATCCATATTGCCTTCAGTTTTCAGATCACACATCTGAAGTTCGGGTCATATCGCCGAAGTTTTTTTTCTCCATGTACGTTTACAGGGTATCTAGTATTTTTTGATTTTGAAAAATCCTGTAATTTTCCTGATATTTTATAAAAAATTCCTGGTTTTTCCTTTTGAGAATTCCTGATATTTTCCTGATTTTTCTTGACTCCTGGCACGGTGGGCAAAAAGAAGTAAGACTTTCTCCGCCGAGGAGATTCGCGTCAGAAAAATTCCTGATAAAACGTCTGATTTTTCCGATTTTCCTGATTTTTTCCTGATCGGCCAAAATTCCTGATATTTTCCGGTTTTTCCTGATGCTAGACACCCTGATTTACAAATGGAGTATGGGGTGATTTCTTTCTCTTTTTTGACTTGAGGCTTGGATTCTAAGGCGCTTGATGTTTAAATCATTTTACACCCTTCGGTGTGTATCTCTGTTGTTTAGTAGTTTACCATATCATTTAGGGCTTTCCCATCATTTCTTTTAAAATCGTGTCGGTATTTCAACCTGCGACTTGTAGAATTTAACGTAAATTAATATATATTACGTCTTATCTTGAAATTAGGCATAAAAGTATTGGTTTCAGCAGTAGGGTTTCTTGTGTGAACTATGATAACTGGTAAAAGGATACAGAATAAAGACACACCCTAATCATCAAGTATCATGAGAAAAACAGGGACATGGACATCGATTACAGACAATTCCCCTCTTTTTGGAACATCATCAGTGTAAAATTCATCTTACATCTATATTATACAGCTACAAGCAAAATCTTGGAAGCACTATTTCTGAAGAACTACCGGATCGATAAGGATAATGCTTACATGTATGTTATCTGTAATATCTGTAAATGTGCAAGAAAGTATGAAATCCCGAACTTTTAAAGTTTTAGAGCTTTTAAAGCTCATGGGACTTGCGTCCAATGTTAATAGCGTGAGACATATGTCGTTTCCTCTAGAAACGTCTAGATGTGGGATTCTACCTCAGTGACTCGAATAAACTGTAGAACAATGCTACCCCTAGTGTAGGGCTCCTCATTCCGAGAGTTGAGGAACGGCGCGACGCTGAAATGGGGATATCCCAAGGTTAAGGTCCAAGGTATGTGGTTTTTACTCAATTTTTCCTAATTCATTCGGCCTCGATTGTGGCATTGATCAATACTTGATTGCCGAATTTCTATTAATATTAACAGCAGACACAAAGTGAGAGGGCAGGCACTGCGTCGTGTCCGGGCAGACCAAATAATTTAACTCTCAACGGTCATAATCCGATTTTTTCTTTTTCTTAAATTGAGCATCTAAAAATAACATAATAAATGAAAATTTTTCCAGTGAGTGGACTGCGTTTACAAAAACGCACCAAGTCACATTTTCAAAAAAATTCAGTTAGGAGTAGTTTTCAGCTCTACTAACTCTTCACTTTTCCCTTTTCTCGAGTTCATCTACATGCGACTTGATGAGTTTCTATTAAACGCAGCCCTATTAAAACTCCTAACCTTTCTCAAAGGAAAAGAAGAAAAGAAAAGATAAATTCAACGTACAGATGTGAAAAAATGCCAAAAAATACATTTTTTGAAAGTTCAGCGACCATTTTCTATCAGTTCATCAGCGGTTGAAATAATGAGTCACCGCTCATGTTTGTTGAAATGGAAACCTAAAGATTTTCGAACTTTTACTTTTTACTTTGGTAGATAATTTGACTATTGTTTCTTCCTTTTCTTCTTCTCTGGTGCAAGGGCATCATTTAGGGAGGGCAAGGGGCCAGTTGCCCCCCATGGCTGGCAAAATTTACCTTCGTTTAGGTAATTTTGACCAATTATGGTGCATTTTAGGAAATTTGTTGACGTTCCCCTCCCCCCTCTCCCAAGCAAAATTCAGCTATTCCTCATCATTTACAAATCTGAATATTACTTTAAAAATTTTGAAATCGATGCAGCTCAAACACAAAATGGTGTATTAAAATGGAAGAACATTTTTGCCAATACATATGCGTATAGAGCTCTCGAAGCGGGCCTGAGTGCGCGAAGCGCCCTCCAGAGGGTTGGGCCGCATAGCGGCCAGGGGGCAGAGCAACCTTGTTTTATATAAGATGCATAATACTTCATTCACAAGACATAATGAAAGAAAAGAAGAGAATCTACAACTGGGTGCTGTAAAGATGCATTTACCTGGTGACATCATATGGTGGCACAACTGGAGCGGGAGGGGCAAAGGGAGATCTAGGTGGCACAGGCCCTGCAGCCAGTTTCACTCCATACAAATTATAAGATTCGTCCATTAGTTCCGTGTCACTGTAAAATTTACACATGATTCGATCAACATACTTCAGATGATAAAATAATTTTTTTTACTCCAAGCTTAACAAAAAGATATTTTCAGGCCTGGATTTACGTACTTGCCACTGGGGGCAACGATAGAATTGCCGCCGTTCCCAACTAGTGTGGGAAACGTGACTGTAAGGGGGGGGGGGGTCTTTCGCCAGAAACGGCGGGTTTGGTAGGCCTTCCCACTGAAATTATAGAAATTTTGCAGGGTGTCCAGTTTTTTCCCACGTCCCCATTCCCGATTTTCCTCCGGTTTTTCGCCGCTTTCCTGCGGACTTGATGAGCTCATGAAGGAGACGTGTTTCCTTATTTTTCGTGAGAACTAATGAAGATATGAAGATGCCGCAATTGTACCATTAGAAAGGTTGCATTTTCAGCTTTATAATACGGAAAACTTATTTGAAATATAAGTAGGCGACCAAAAGCATTTTATTGTATGCAGCAAAGAAATAAAAAAAAGAAGAGAAAGGTTGCCAGTTCCACTGATAAAAATTCAATCTGGTAAAGACCACTATACCCCCTGACCCTGAAATATGTGAGTATGCCATTTTTTTCAATTGAGTTATTACTTTTTTTCTAATTAAATTTCACTGGTTTCTATGAAAGAAAGGATGGGAACTCTACTAAGTTCCTACACAGGAAGAAATAATGCTGGACAGCAGAATTAACTGAAAATGTAAAAAAAAAATTTTAGAGTGAAACTAAAAAAAATGAGTAGGACTTGAAATCAGAGATCATTTCCAAAATTGGCAGACTCTGTCTGTCCTCTAAGCAATTAATTTATTGGTGCTATTATGAAATGAGATGGTGCTATAACAGAATCAGAAAAGGAGACAAAGCAAAGCGTCAACTTAGTTAAAAGAGACACCTCTGACGAACTAGTGATAAAGAGCATGTTAAGATAACCTCAAAAGCTTGAACATAAACAACACGTAAAGGAGGGAAAATTCACGGCACTTCTTCGGTTTGGCCAAAGACATTAAGACGGAGCACTCGCATCTAATGAAACGGGGGAGAAGTGAAGCCGCCCTGGCGCTCTGTGCTTAGTCGTATTATATTAGTGGATGCAGCACGCATTTTCGTTCAAACGCATTCACTGGAGGAAGACGAGGGAACTTGTTTTAGAGCAAATGTGACGTGACCAGACATGTGAAACGCGGGGAGCGGGAAATGATGGCAATTTAAAAAAATGCATACGGCCGACTTGTTTGTTGTTGTGTACTGTGGTGCGTGTGAAGTGTTGTGAAAATTCATTTCCAAATTTTACGTATTGTTATCTTGTGCCTTGAAGCTAAATTTATAAGTACAATTTTTGAAAGGGTACCGTTCTATTATTAATTAAACAACTCGAACGTGCTGTCATCCAAAGATGCAACGGTTATTTTGGAATTCGGCGACCATCCATCAGGGTAAACGAATACAGTGAAATAATTAGGAACTTTTCACTCTCATATATTCTAACTACTCTTTCATTACAAAGAGCGACGCCACGAATGGCACAATTTGGGCCAGCGGGGATTTTTCTGAAACCGGGCCTAAACGATACCTTATGATACCCTAAAACTCTGGTTGAAATTTTAGCTTGAGTACACGCACGGTTTTTGAGAAATGAGGGGGCAAAGTTGCCAAATCGCCATCATCCTGGACAGCATTTCTATAGCAAAAAGACGGGGGAAATGGATGAAAAAGTTACACCTTTGATGAGTTTCGGCTGTAAATGTTCTTATTGGGCCCCCAAGCATTTAACTGTGTTCAGTTTCAAAAATGTTGGTCGCACAGTGGTCCAAAATGGGGAGAAATTGTCGACAAATCAGGATTCTTTGTCAAATTTTTAAACATGGAAATAAAATTGTCAGTTTGCTGCAGTTTTCGACGCTAACAATGTTCTTATCGGTCCTCGATGCATGAAATTGTGTTCAGCTTCACAAATTTACATCGCACAGTGGTCAAAAATGAGGGAATTAGTGGACAAATTAAGATCCTTTGGAACTTTTTAAAAATGAAGTGAAACTGTTGGTCCCCAGTAGAGTTTAGATCCCGGAAAAATTCTTTAAATTCTTTTTTGGACTATTTTAATCTTTTTTTTAAATTTTTTCTCTCCAATTTTCCTTCTTTTTTAAATTTCTGAAAGTTTACATATTTTATTGAGATAATGCTACAAAGTCTATTCTATAACAACGTTCTATAAACAATACGGTCTGACATGCAGTAATAATTAAAAGAATTAAATACATGAATTTTTCCGAGATCTAAACTCCACACTGACCAACAGTTTCACTTCATTTTTAAAAAGTTTCACAGAGGATCTTAATTTGTCCACTAATTCCCTCATTTTTGACCACTGTGCGATGTAAATTTGTGAAGCTGAACACAATTTCATGCATCGAGGACCGATAAGAACATTGTTAGCGACGAAAACTGCAGCAAACCGACAATTTTATTTCCATGGTTAAAAATTTGACAAAGAATCCTGATTTGTCGACAATTTCTCCCCATTTTGGACCACTGTGCGACCAACATTTTTGAAACTGAACACAGTTAAATGCTTGGGGGCCCAATAAGAACATTTACAGCCGAAACCCATCAAAGGTGTAACTTTTTCATCCATTTCCCCCGTCTTTTTGCTATAGAAATGCTGTCCAGGATGGTGGCGATTTGGCAACTTTGCCCCCTCATTTCTCAAAAACCGTGCGTGTACTCAAGCTAAAATTTTAACCAGAGTTTTAGGATATCATAAGGTATCGTTTAGGCCCGGTTTCAGAAAAATCCCCGCTGGCCCAAATTGTGCCAAAAAACGGTCCTTTTGGGCGTCGCTCTTTAGTCAATAGCGTGGATTTAAGAAATTTGATTTATTATCCTGTGATATGAGCCTAATTGGCGCATTTTAGTGATTCTTTATCAGTGGTTCAGTTGTGTGTGTTCTGTTTATTATTCATGTTGTCAGGCAATGGAGTTGTTGCATGATTTTTTTTTTAAATTCAGTTTCTACAAGTCTGTGGTGCGCTGATTGTTGGGGCTGTCAGTGGCTCACCAGCCATCGATGACAACAACCCTCATTCGCGAGCCGGCCATCATGGCGGTATGAACCTTGTATTCGCGGTTTCTTTTCAACTCTCGTTGTCAGCGAGAATCGGAAGAATTCGAAGCTTTCTTTCTTTTGGTTAAAAAGTTAGCCGATGATTGTGACTTTGGTACTCTGAAATCAGAACTCATTCGTGATAGGTTAGTTGTTGGAATCAACAACAAAACGGTGCAAGAAAGGCTCCTTAGTGAAAAGTTTGATCTAGACAAGGTAGTCAAAATTTGTTGTTCTGTGGAAACAGGGAAGCAAAGAGCAGAGGAGGTATCTAATGGCAATCAGGTCCATTACATCAGGTATCAATCCAGACCCAACTCCAGTAAGAAGAGCAGCTTTAATAACCGTGGTCAAAACTCCGCAAGTACATCAAAGCAAGGAAGAAGCAGCTCAACTCAACCCCAAGAAAATCTGCAGCAAGTGAGTGAGATCAACTGTTGCAACTGCGGACAACTTCATCCTATTCGTCAGTGTCCTGCCTTCCGGAAAAGATGTTCGAAGTGCGGGTTCTTTAATCATTTCGCAAGTGTCTGTGAAACGCGCTCTAAACCTTCCTCTAGTGCTCCTGCTCAGCGCTCAGCTGACACAGTAAATTTAGCATCATCTTCCATTAATGTCTCTAATCCGTTTAATTCTAATTATGCTAATTACATTGATGCACAAGATTTTGTAATAATCGATGAAATTGTTGTTGATCGTTCCTTACCTAGCTCCGAGAAGCTTCAACCTGTAATTTGTCCGAATGACCGCTCCGAAAAGCGTAACCCTAAAATTATTCTAGATGATAGCTCCAGGAAGCATAGTCCGTTCAGTGTCTCCAGTTTTTGCTCTGAAAAGCCCATCCTGATGAGTGGAAATTTTAATTATTGCTCCGAGAAGCATGATTCCTTAAGTGTTTTCAATAATTGTGCTGAGGCAAATTCCTTAAGTGAAATTAACAAATGCTCCGAGATGCAAAATCCATTAAATTCTAATTGCTCGGTGAAGCAAAATGTTCTAGTAAATAATGATAATTATTGCTCCGTGAAGCAAAATGTTCTAGTTAATTGTGATAATTATTGCTCTGTGAGGCCCATGTCTTCAAGTATTGTAAATAAAACTTGTGTTTCTCCTAAAATGTCGGTAAATTTGAGTGATGCAGCAACCGCCAGCACATCTCATACACATGGTTCAACCAATACCCAAGTATTCCGTGCGATCAACGATACACCAAGTAGTTCAGCCAAATTCTGGATGCAGAAAATTCGCGTGAGCAACTCCTTCGTTGACTTCAAACTGGACACAGGTGCGGAAATCAACATTCTACCCAACTACATATTTTAAAAGGTCAAGAATGCGGATAATGTGCTGACGCCAAATAAATCGATCATTCTGGGATACGGCGGTACTCCGATTGAAACACTTGGTAATGTACTCTTGAATTGCAGTTTACCCGGTCAAAATGTATTGTACAAGATTTTATTTACTGTAACTAAAGCAGGCACTGTGCCTCTCTTGGGTTTAAAAACCTGTGTTGATCTAGGTCTCATTGTTAAACAACAAATTGATTAAGTTTCAGCCTTCAAAGATAAAGCAGCGGTGCTTATTAACTTTCCTAATTCCTTTACAGGTCTCAGAGCTTTTCCTGATCCAGTTGATGTTTTTGTTAATCCTAGTTCTGTACCTTTCAATGATCCTCCCAGGAGGTTGCCGCATAAAATTTTACCATCTCTAAAGAAAAAATTAGAAACCTCACTAATCTCAAATATAATATCTAATGATGTCTCTGATGTTGCATGGTATAGCAATTTAGTTGTTGTGGAAAAGGACAACCATTCCATCAGAATCTGCCTTGATCCAAGAAACTTAATTAAAAACATTAGGAGAGAATTATTTCTCATACCCTCATTCG